AACAGGAAACGGAAAAAACACTACAAATATTATAAGCAGCAAAGAGAATTTACCAAGGGCGTTTATTGTTGAGGCAGATGTTTGGAAGAAGATCATCGAGGATACAATGACCACAACCCGCTTCACACAGTTGCCTACTGAATGAGTCACTGGTGACACCATTTGAAGTATCATGTAAGAAATCTGCACCAGTTGAAGTATCATGTAAGATCCTTACATGGGGATTCACACTGATTTAGACATGAAAGGTGATATTGGAGTGCACGAGAACAAATGTTTGTACTGATGATACGTCAAACGAACGAGATTTCATTAAATTTCCGGTGCTTCAGTCGTTATTTGATAAAAATAAAGTAAACCTCAAGACTATCAGCTTCAATTTGGAAGTTCGAATCTAGACTGCTTCGGATTTTAATGCCGTGCAACAATCTTTATTGCCAAATTTAAAGAATTTATTCAAGAACTTGGGATAGCTCCAATCGCGGTGACCAGACTGTTCAAGACCACTATAATCGTGTAGTATCTGCAATTCTGAAAGAGAAAAAAAGAGGATGCTGTAAAACAGGGAGGATCATACCTGTTGGTAACTGTGGAAGCAGAAACCAGCTAACAGAGATCTCACCAGAAATTCTCTAACATTCAAGCCCTGGCTCGCCTGAACACAAGGCATTCAAAACGACGTATGGAGAGCTATTGGAGAAAGATGGCAATGTAAAGCCCTAAAAACTCTTCCTTAAAGGTTACTATTACTTACAGCATATTGAAGGTGCGATGGACTAAGCTTGATCCCGTCAATCAAAACAGTTATGGGTACCAGAAGGATAAATGAAATGATAGTCATGACAGAGAAGAGATTGATATTGTCCAAAGCGTCCTGTTCAACAGGCCTGCTGGTTATTGGGTATAATACGAACCAAGAATCTTATGCGAAAGCATGGTAAACAGGGAGATTTCACTGTACCCACTGTTTAAGGATGAAAAATTACACTACTGTTGATCAAGAATATTAAACCAGAACTGCAGAAATGCAGACACGATGACAAATTCTCGCCACACTGGCAAGCATTGGACCATACCTCCTTAACCATGACCTTTTTGCTGTAGACGTTACGTGACTGGTTGGTCAGATTGGAGGCCATTGCGCTCCCAAAGCCTATCCTGGTTTAGATATTCAAAGTTATTAAACCAGAACATAATAATATGTGATGTGCACCCACCCCATTTTATGCTCTTCTATTATGACAAGGTCGTACCAATTAAAAGATGCCTCCGTGAATGATGCCAATGCCACTCCTCCAACTATAGGCACCAGGGAAGCAACTACCCAGACAGATGGCCGCTGTGAAATTTATGTCCAAGCTTAGAGTTAGGGTCTTCAGCCCAAAAAATGAAAATGGTAAGGAAATAGTGGCCATTTGATTCAAAAAGAAGTAAAGCACAACAAACAGGGCAAGATGAAGGATGCTTCTCTAGTCACATGACTGGAGTCTGGGATATGTTCAAAACATGGCACCTAGAACAAACGCAACCGACTATTTACAACACTGAAGTGAACCAAAAGGAGAAGAAACCGCAAGTCTCACTACTGGCTTCTTGGGCGTGCTAAATTACCAAAACAGCGACATCATAGTTACTAACAACCCGGTTGACAACATTAACCAATGAAGAGGTGAGAATTAAAGTTGGTACATACCTCGCCAAGAAAGAGGACAGAAAGAAGTACAGTGAAGAAAGGCTCCATGGCTTTGATGGTATGAGTGAAAGAAACCGCTACTTTTCCAAGACTGATGTTGGTCAGGAGGTTCCCCACAGTGTGCCCCACAGCCAGCAAGAATATTGCTTCAAACTGAAACATACAAAACAATGTGCGCATGTATAATCTTTACCAGTGACAAAAGATTGAAAGTTTCAAGTGTCATCAAGGTCAAATAAGGAACTAAAATCAAAAGAAAGAAAAGCAGAGCACACCTACCTGAGATCTGTTGATCGTCGGCCTTTTATGGAGATTCAGTGCCCACATAAAGAGTACAAGCATGGTTCCGCAACCAAATTGGAATGCTGAAACTGTTGTTGGGTGTGGAAATACCTTCAAAACCTGCAATGCACTTATAAAAGTCGTTTGTTTACAGAAAATGAAACACACATTCCACGAGTGAAGCTAATGACATGAGCATAACCATAGAAGAAAATTACTACTTCTGCTGTTACTACAATATGGGAAAAAGATATTAAAGATATCCAAAGCAAAGAAGAAAAGGGAACCTGCTTGTTGAAAATGTTGAAGTATATATTCAACGAGTACCAGACTACGAACATCACCCCGAGCTGCAAAGTCTTCAGCAGCTCATTCGGCTTGGCGGACTCGCCCGCATCATTATCAGGAACTGCTGTGGCTCTGAGCTTGACATGGCACGAGGTTTTATTTGCTGCAGAAAATGAGAAATGGGTTCCTATATTGGAGCCGCCTAATCCTAAAGCAGGGTTCAGTAGGAAAGTAGTCCTCTTCTGGAGTTTGCGGTCGCAGTGGAAAGATGTTGATTTTAGATTCAGAGACAGAGAGGAGTGGCAGTGGTATCTCGCAGCTGGGTTGGTTCTTCTGCTGTTGAAGATTTCATGCTTGAGTTTTGAAGGTCTTGTGGAAGTAGAGACAACCGAGAGTCGTAGCAGATGGCAGCTCGCCATCTCAGGGAATTTAGATCCCCGTGGCGTGGAGGCCGGAGGGGAAGTGCCAATTCAAGAACTGCCAAGCAATACCGCCAGTGTACTTGAATTCTGATTAACAATGCACGCTAGCCTTTCCGCGACGTACTCTTATGGTGGCTTAAAAAAATAAGTCATCGGCGGCTAAAAATTTTTCCGAGGCAGTGGGGGAAAAAAGGACGACCAAGCAAACCCGCTTCTGCCAGGACTGAAATGGCGGGACCAGAAGAAACAAATACTAATCGTTTATTGAAAGTGGAAAAATCAAATGTTACACACACATTTGGAATTTTGGATTTACGGTATTACGGTCACGTCACGTGCATTTGAACCGTAGGTGTATCATCTCCTCCCGTTTTCCCATTATTATGGGATAATTTCAGAAACGTCCCTCCAGGTTTCTATTCTAACGATTGCACTTCAATGCCCTTTAACATTGAAAACCTCTCCTTCAACGACATTTTTATAGATATTTCAGCCCTTATCAAGAAAAACTTCCTTAAAATTTGAGAAAAAAAATATTGACGCATAATTTTCCATCAAATTTGCCTTCATTCATTGTTCTCAGGAGAAAATATGTACTACCTTTTCATGAAATTGACAAAACCAAAAAAGGAAATAAGTTTTGCCCTCTAATGATTCTCTCAGGACATAAAAGAAAGTCAACTTTTAAACTGGTCATCACTGTATATAGTGGGATGGGAGGTCAAGGGTTCAAACCTTACCTCCCATCAATATGCCTCAATATGAGGAGTGTTCGAAATTCATGCGGGTGAGTGATGCATCCGTCTGGTCAGATGGCGAGTAGGTTAGATTAGGCTAAATGTGTTGCTAGTGAAAAAAAAAAAAAAACTCTTAAAGTGAGGAAGAGCAGTTGCACTTGGCTCTATTCTAACATTGTATATAAACTAGAGAAAATACGAAAAACATGCATTCCATTTTTCAAAAAGAAAGGATCCTTTTGTGAAGTGAGCTGTGACACTTGACAAGTATTACAGGTGCACATTGATCAGCGTAGCATGGCAGTTGAAGAACAAGTGTGTCTTTATCAAATTATCACATGAACTTAATTCACAGAGGAACATCATTGAGAATCAAAAACAGAATTTTTGGTCGCGGATGCAATGCAAAAAATCAGAATTTCAAAAAGTGAAAGAAATCCAAATAGAATAATCGTGAGAAAAGAATTGGAGAATAAAATAGTGGGCGGTGTACTTCAAAGCCAGCCAGTAGTAGTGTTTTGATGGTAAAATGAAATCGAATTCTTAGGCTTACTAGCCGTTACCGTTTCCACGGGTGGAGTATAATTTGCCACACACATCCACGTTCGAGTGACAGTCTGACAGGTGGACCTCGGTCTAAGGGCCCCGCGCGAGAAAAATCAAGCACCAGAGCCGTTTTAGGTCCACAATTTTCAGTTCGGCTTTACGTTCCATGGTCCAGTTTTCGTATTTTTCTGCGTAACGAACGAGACATAAGAATGACGGAATTCTTCGCTTTGGGGCCTGGTTTTGTCAAGGTGTCAATCCATCGGCCCAATACGCAAAGACAGAGAGAAATTATCTTCGAAGAAAATGGGGCTTCCACAGGATGAGATGAGGATTAATCCATTCAGATGCAGCTAATCAAATGTCCACGAGTAGGTATAATGGTACAACATATATACTTCTGGCATTATATGTTTTGTTATAGAAAAAAAAAAAAGAGTATCTCTTAAAGGAAACAAAAATAAGTCAATGGTCGATTTGCCTTTTTTTAAAAAAAAAAAAAATTTTGTTGGTTCTAAAATTTCAAAACAAACATAATAATTAGACGTCCGTCGCGTACCCTTTACGCATTATCTACCGTATTATACTAATTCAATTTAAAAAGCTCAGAAGGTATGGCACTAAAATTTTGGGTTGACAAAATCATGTGGTTATCGAATTAGGCGAGTCCCTGATACTAGTGGGAGTTTTCTCTTTCTTAATATTTAGGAGTGAGCCTTTTTTTTCCTGTCCCAAAAGTTTTTGTTTAATTTCTTGTTAGTATTTTTTTTCTCAGGGAAGGAGATAAACGTTATCCATTGGTAACTGACGAATCGGACCCGCTGTATCACGGCCAACGGGACCGATCAAAGAAAAAGGCGTAGGCCTTTTTGGCTTTTCGCTTTCGCCAATCCAATGGAGAGAGTGGAGAGTCGTCAATGATCACTAGGAGGAGGATCACCGCGCATCGCGCGGTGTGCGAATGCAATTATGCCCAGTAATGACCAATTTAATTGTAATTTATGAACAATATTAGCTAATTCAAACGGCAAGTAATATAACAAGTGTTACACAAGATTGAACAAATAAAAACACAAAAAAAGGAAACAGGTCTGTAAATGTCCAAGCTAAAATTAATAAGCAAGCAACGAGCAGGAAGATAAGAAATCCAACAGCTAGGAAATAAGCAGCAAACAAACGAAATGGACACATAAAATAAGTAACAAAAAATAGTTCAGCATGAAATGCAAGGCTGTCTATAATTTCCATCCTTCAGCAGTAATAGTACAGGAACAGGAGTTGAAAAGCTCCTTGTTAACCCAACAAAGTCATCCAAAAGTTTCGGGAAGTAGTAAATAAGCTCCCGCAATTCAAGTCAAAGAAGTGAGGCTCTAAGAAGATGCAACCAACCACATAGCAGAAAATACAAGTGATAGAGACGGAATATAGATAGCAAAATATAAAAGAAATAGGAAAGAGAGGAGAACCAGAAACACTAACCTGTCTGGCTGCAAAAAAAGCTTCGGGGCAGAATCAGAGAAAAGCAGGCGGTACCACGATAAAATCGAGCATACAAAAGCTAATAGCGAAAAGAAACAGAACAAGGAAAAATAAGCCCGTGCTAATAGACCGAGTGCAATGAAAAAAGTAAAGGCATTAAGCTGGTGCGCAAGAAAAGAAAGAAACCGTTGCTGGAAAAAGAAGGCAATAACTAAGTAAAATGACAAAGCAACAAGGGAAAAAAGGAAAGCAATTATTTTTTTGTAAAAAAAAGCTCAACAGATGCAGAGGGACTAAGTTAAACGTTCTTGGAGCAAGGCACTCACCAGCAAAACAGCAGAGATAGCAACTTTGCAAGCTGAAACAAAGTCAGGAAATTAGTAATGAAAAAGGCAAAAAGAAGCAAGAGCAAGAGAAGAAGGAAGTTGATAGCTAACCTCTATTCTGTCTAGAAAAAAAGCAGCCGAAAGGGATTAGAATGGAGGATGCAGCAGCTGTAGATCTACTGCCGATCATGATAGTAAGCCGCCGAGGTTCTGCTAGAACAAACCAGGTAATGGTAACAACCACTGTACAAAGGGAAAACACCGGATTATCCCTGAACAGAGCAAGGCTGAAAGGTGATGTTTGGCAGAAGGCAACAATGACGGTCACTTCATTTTTACAAATATGTCCATGAGCAGGAAATAAGGAAAAAAGAGAAACTGAGCAAACGGAAAGATAAAGGCTGGGTAGTTTAGTAAAATAGAGGTACCAACTTTCCCATCAAATACAACTCTCCACCAAATGGAAGTAATCAGAAGTGATGGCTGAGGATGTATTCGATTAAGATGCGCAGAAAGTAGATTGCAAAAATCGATGCCAGCAACGGAAAGTGCAACTCTTTAGACAAATATACGAAAAAAAAGATTTTGTTCAAGGAAAAAATACTAATAGAGAGGCAAATTTTATTTTGAACAGCTAAAATGCAGGCCAACTAATTAAGTAATCATTAACAATAACAAAAAAAAAAGTGACGAGGAAAAGGCAACAATTAACATAGAGAAATTGATAGGTAAATATGAATGTAAGTAGGCAAAAAGGCACTTTTTTGCTAACCCAATATATTGGGTCAGATCAGGCAATAAATAATTGTTAACAATCAACATTAAAAAATGATAATTATTATTTGTTTTGGCAAAAATATTTTTTTTCCTAATAACTAAAGGAACCGGTAATTAAACACGATCCATTAGATGAACAATAAAAAGCAAGACATTATTAAATAGCTATTAACAATTAATTGTAGCGTATTGGTAAATAGATACAGTTTGGTGGAAGAAAAAAATGGTCATTTTTTTTTTGTTAAGACGATCCACTGGAGCCAAAAAAGAAGAGCGGCCAAATAAACAACGAATCATCAAAGGGGAAAAAACGAAATTATTAATTAACCAACGAAGCATTAATGGCAAAAAAGCATTTATTTGATAAAAGAAAATAAAAAAAATAGATTCAATTTGTTTTTATTTTTGGAACAAAAATGGTTTTTTTTGGCTAACAACTGCAAGGGAGCACTAATTAAACACGATTTATTTGATGACCAAAAAAAGGCACTATTAAGCGCAAAGCGCCAGTAAATACATGCAGTTTGGTGAAGGAAAAAAAGGACACTTTTTGCTCATACAATCCGCCGGAGCATAAAAAAGAAGCTAAAAAACCAGCAAACCATTAATCGGGGAAAAAAATTGAAGTATTAATTAACTAACGAAACATTAACAACAAAAAGGGCATTTTTTTTTATAACATCCATAAAATAAAACAGTTGATAAATATATTTTTTTTGCTAAAAAATGTCCCTTTTTTTTTTGCCTAACAACTGCAAGAAATTGCTAATTAGACGCGATCCATTGGACAGCAAGGGAAAAACCATTATTAAGCAGCCAGCAACAATGAATTGCAAAGTATCAGTAAATATATGCAATTTGGCGGAAGACTAAAAAAGGCCAACGAAAAGCAATAAATAATTGCTAACAATCAACGGTAAAAAATGATAATTATTATTTGTTTTGCCCTAAAATATATAATTTTTTTGGTAATAACTGAAGGAGTCGGTAATTAAACACGACCCAACTCATCAAGCGCGATCTGTTGAATGACAAGAAACATGACATTAAATTAGTTATTAACAATTAATTGCAAAGAATTGGTAATTATATGTGATTTGACGGACAACAAAGAAAAAAAGGAATCCAAATTTTTTGTTAATGTGATTTGTTGGATAAAAAAGTAAGAAGCAAAATTTTAGCACAATCCTACATGCAATTAGAGGACTACCACCAATCGACGAATCAGAGGACGACAACTCATCAAATTGGAATCAATTGGAGGACTACCACCAATCAACCAATGGAAGAGCGCCACGTCAGCATTTGGGTTCAATTGGGACAATTGCATTCACACATTTACTATATATGTTAATGAGTCCTCCCCAGCCAATCTCCAATTGGGGTCCGCATCATTTTAATACTTATTATTGTTTTTTTCCATTGACAGAAGAAGCACACACATAATTAGATTAGAAACACTCAAAAAAGCATCGAAGATTGAGTTAGAAACTAATCTAAGAGAGACTCACAAATCAACACCATCCAACCAATTGGTGATAGGAGGTACGGTTGAAAACCTTAAATCTAAGTTAAAGAACTCACAATCTTTCGATGTGGGACGGAAATCCTACCCCTCCCCCCTCACAAGCACACCCTCACCAATAATATGGTTTTTTTTTTTCATTGACAGAAGAAACACACACACACACACAATTAGATTAAAACCACTCAGGAAAGCATCGAAAGATCGAGTCAGAGACTAATATAAGGGAACCCACGAACCAACACCATCTACCCAATTGATGACGGGAGGACCCACAAACTAATGCTTATTGTTGTTTGATTCATTAATTTTACCAGTACAACTACAAAATAAAGGGGCGAATCCAAGAATCCAAACGTTGATAATTGATTGGATAAGACTTGAGCAGAAAATGAAACAAGACCGATGCCTTGTATTGAACTCTTTCTTCTAGACAGCACAGCATCTTTAAGGCACACGTCGACCTAAAAATAGGCACCGATCATGCAGAAAAAACAAAAGAACAAAGAAACAAAAGAGCACTTAGCTTAGCGGTCGGTTAAGGGGGAAGTGGGGAACGATAGCCGAAGCGAAAGCACCTGCATTATCATCGCCTTTTCCTCTGTCGAGTCTTCTTTCTCAGGCCAAAGGTCTGGTTCAGGTAATGGTCTTTGCTCTTCTGATTTCTTCTTTACCGAGTATAAGTGCTTCTCTTTTTCTCTTTGCTGGTGGAGAGGTTTATTTATTTTTTTTATTGTTGATCCTGCTAGTTGATTGCTAGCCTTGTGTTTCTGATGCGTGCTAGGTGTTTGTCTGTAAGTCTGACAGAGTAATGCTGCCATTTGTATATTGGGGGTCTCGTATTGGACTTTGAAGATTGATTAGATTTAGATATTAAGAATTGATGTTTTGGAATGGATGCAATTGCAGTATGAGATGTTCAGCAAAACATAGGGGTTGTTTTGCAGATAACTGGGCATTGATTTTAGTGCCTTATTCTTTCTAATTGAGATAGAAAAAGTATTCTTTCGTTTTGCTAAGTGTGTTTTTTTTTTTTATTTTGCTTAGTAAAACTGTTTAGAAGTCCAATTGTTGAGTTTCGCATTTTTTTCAAGACATATATATTGTTAAAAGTAGATTTTCTTGTTGGATACTTGGATTTGGTTATACTTCATAGTTTGCATGTGGTTGTAAAGCAACCATTAACCAATAGAAAAATGACTCATTTTGTTTCTCTCCCAGAATGCGGTTGATGGTGACTGATGGTACTACAACCTTGAGTTATTGGTTAAATTGGAGGTTCTTACTCTGTGCAATATTGGTATTGACACCAATGGCAGTAGCATTCTATCTTATATGGAAATATGAACGTCCGACAAAAGATTCATGCTCCGACAGAGAAGCGTTGCATGATGAGAGATCCTGGATTTTGTGGAATGATGAAGCTTGGAGGCCATGTTTAAAGGAAATTCCCCCGAGTTTTTTGATGGTCTATCGGGTTATCGCATTCTGTTTGCTCTTAGTGGCCCTTAGTTTTGATGTTGCAGTTCACGGTGGTGAATTATTTTACTATTATACTCAGTAAGTCATCTTTGCTGATTGGCTGCATGATAAGCTAGCCTATGTGTGGTAGAATCAATTCTGTGGCTATTTAAACATTTTGCACTGTGGTTACCACTGAATTAATTTGATAAACATTTGAATTGCATAAGAAAAGATGAGACATAATTGTAAATCTTGAAGCAGTTTGTGAAATTTATTCTAGACTTCAGATTCTAAGTGAGGTCAAGCATTGCTGTACCGACTAGCAATTTTTTTCCTTACCTTACTACGAAGATTTCATCCCCTAGAGGAAAGAGGGCAGTTTACCAGTTTCGAACATTCTTTCTGGACTTGAGAACCTCAAAACTTAAAAGGTACAGAGTCTGGGTTCCTTGTGCCGCATGCTTGTGCTTTCTTGAATGCTAGTATGTTAGGTTACTAGAATACGCGATTGGCTTGCTTCTGACTTCTTTGCTTGCATGTTTAGTATGATATTTTTCCTACCAATTTATTTTGTGCTTTATTAAGGTAACATCAAGCACTTTTTCTCACTGACTGTGAGAAGTTTGGTTTCACTCCGTCCCTCATTTTATTCAGTGATGCTTAGCTTAACTTTAGCTCTCAGTCTAGGGAGTGGCTAAGCCGAAAAGGAGGAGGTGGACTTGCGACCATACTCTCAACTTTAGCTGAGAAGCACCCTCCATCCACTTCCCCTTTTCAGTCTGCCCAAAAGCCCACCCACCTGGTTTATGAGCCCCACTCCACTTTTACTTCCTTCTACTTTTACCTGCAATCACAGACAGTGGCAGAGTAGCTTACCTTGATCCTGGCTTGCATAATTTTGGCAAGTAAAATAAGGGTCAATACTGAAGGTCTAAAAATGTAAATGCACCCACCCTCACCCAAATACAGAGACGTTTTCTAAACATGTCACTAAAATTGTACAAATTAATGGGTCAACTACTATTTCAGCCTTGAGAATTTATCTTCTAAATGTGGCAGCTTGCATAATTTTGGCAAGTAAAATAAGGGTTAATACTGAAGCTCTCAAAATGTAAATGCACCCACCCTCACCCAAATACAAAGACGTTTTCTAAACATGTCAAATGGTTTTCTTCTGGAGATTTAGAGGACAAAACTTGTACAAATTAATGGGTCAACTACCATTTCAGCCTTGAGAATTTATCTTCTAAATGTGGTATGCTTTTATTTTTGACAGAAGTGGCTTTATTTCTCTCTGACTATGGGATTTATGATTTTTTTGGCTGCTATGCAGGTGGACTTTTACGTTAGTTACCATATATTTTGGGGTATGCATATGTTTCTCTTCTTTATGGACCTGATGGCAAATCTTACATGTGCCATCTGGTTGTACGGATATTCCAATTTGTTTGAACTTCTATTTTTTGCTTCTGCCAATACAAAATGCAATCTTTTCTGACGTTGGCTTCTCAAGTCTCTTTGCAGCTTGGATCTGTGCTGTCACTCTATGGATTTTGTAAGGATAACAGAATGAACAACAAGGTTAATGATCGTATCGTTGAAGACACAGAGAAGGGCTTATATATGCCACTTGCATGCGAGGGAACTTCAAATGGTAAAGTGGGTGGAAACTTGGATTACAAAGGGAAATCAAACACTCCATGCAGTGCTGCCCTCTGGTGTAACCTATTTCAGATTTTATTTCAGGTAAATCATCTTTAGGGGATTAAACATCCTGCTATAATAGGATGACCATGAAAACAGATGAAAAAATTTTACTCTTAGCACTAGAAAGACCTGGCCAGAGATTATGGGTTGCCTTGAACATTCTCTTGGACATCTAGACTTTTAATATATTCATTACTTCATCATATAATTGGCTTTGAATGGTCTTTTATTTTGACAAGTTGCTTTTTCGGCTGCATCTCTGTGTATATGGTATAGGTCTCTTGACGTTGTGGAGTTTTAGTTACAGAAATTACGCCTAGATGAAGAGAATGTTTTTCTTTTGTGACACTGTTAATGCCAATTTACTTGACCATTTCTTACTGTGGCAATTTTTGGTGTTAACATTATCAAACTTAATTATGTTGTGTTGGAAGTCCAACTTTTTCGTTTTCCAGTATTCAAGCTAGCTAATAACATTTTTCGATGCACAGATGACAGCAGGGGCGGTGATGCTTACTGATTCTGTTTACTGGGTCGTTATTTTCCCATTTCTTAGCATCAAAGATTATGAGATGAGTTTGGTAAGTACTCGAAGAATGACTTGTATGAACAATCTTGAAGTTGTATTATATTAGTGGAATCAATAATGATTGCGGTAATTTGTGAAGCTGATTACTGTGCCTGTAGTGTTTGTTAGTTTGTAAAACATGGCCATGCTTCGTAGCATTTGATTTTAAATTTGTAAATTACTTAGTTGCCTAAATGTTGTATTTACCTTCTATCAGACGCTTTTGTGGTGCTATTTGGTTTTAGATATGATATATCAGAAATTCTTCTGCACCCAGCATGGCTGTCTGAATTATATGTAGTGTGTTATCTCATTGATTGATTCTCAGATAGTGTGTATTACTTGGTGACAACTAGGGGAATGATGAAATACATTTTATAGTCTGTGGCAAAACTGATAGTTCAGTTCTACCGCTCACTGATTTGGTGATCTCTGACCTCAAGAAATTTTCTTCTTCACTTGATAGACAACCGTTTCAGTCTTCAGTGAAATGGATAAATATACACGTTTGAATAGTACAAATATTTTAGTTTTCCAATCTTTGGCACATGGTCTTGCTGCTGATATGGTGATTCTAAATGTTGGGATGCTAGTCATCTTCTAAAGTCGTTCTGCAGATATCTCTGTGTGTCCAACATTTCCAAGGCACGTTTCTGTTTCTCCAAAATCAGAAAATTCTACCTTTTTTTTTGGGTACAAAGTGTAGCTTGAAAGGACAATTTGGTCATTTCGATAGTGCATAAAAACTAATGGTTTGAAAAAGAAGATCCCAGATCTTCAGCATGCCATCAATTTACCCACAGTATGCAGCTATATGCTCCTTTTGTTATCCATTTATCTATTGTTTAATATGCTCTTGATACTGATTGGTTTTCATTTTCTGAAGATATTTCTTGCCTTCTTTATCAGTTGACAGTCCTTGCCCATTCACTTAATCTGATCTTGCTTCTTGGGGACACAGCTTTAAATTCCTTGGTAACTGCTGCTTATTCTCTTTTGCTTTTAGAATTTTCTGAAACAGCACTTTCATCTTTTTGTCCTTAATGAGCTTGAAACGCATTTTCAGCATTTTCCGTGGTTCCGGATTTCTTACTTCATATTGTGGACGGGTATTTATGTCATCTTCGAGTGGACCATTCATGCTTGTTTACCATTGTGGTAAGATTTCTCTTACTTTCTCTTATCCTTCTCTGGCAGCTGTTCTGTCTTGAGTCTTTTTATTGTCAATTGTCTGTCTTCAGGTGGCCATACCCATTTCTTGACCTCTCCGCACGATATGCTCCAATATGGTAGGTTGTTTCTGAAATTTTCTCTTTATGCAGCTACTTTTGGATATGGAATTTATCTTTTCTCAGAATGACTCAAGAATTTTGCTTATGCAGTTATGGCTGTTGCCTATTGTGCATAGAGCATCTATCCACTTTCAGCCCAAATATTCTATAATGGGATTTTCTGCATACCATTTCCATCATCTTTGTTTCACTAAACCAGCAACAGTTCTTTGATGTTAATCAAACAACTTCTTGTATATAGTTTTTCAAGATTGTTAAACAACTTGTTTGAGATAAGAGGCAGGGTAGCACACACTGAATCACCATTTAGTCTGCACTTTTCAACTTGTCTGCTATCAGAAATTGTTGATCAGTTAATTCCTGTGTTGTATCTTTTGATGCCTAACTGAGTTTTGAAGCTAAAAAACACTTTTGTCTGGACTTTTCTTCTTTATTTCTTATCCATTTTAGTTTTGTCTTCTGTATATTGGCAGGTATTTGTTGGCGGCAGTACTGCATGTCCCATGCTATAGTATTTTTGCATTGGTCGTTAAATTAAAAGAGTATGCCCTGTCTAGATGGTATTCGCAATCTTATTGGTGTCAGAGATGAGACCTTGATATTAGGATGTGTTGTTTTAAATCACATACCCACACCATCAGCATTTTGTCTGTTGAAGTTGCTTTAAGGGCATAGCAGAGGCGGCTTGCTCATTTGGAAGGTTTAATCTGAGAACTGAGGAATTGCGAGAGGGAAGACAGCTAAATAGGGATCATTGCTGATTTTAAGTCCATCTGATCTGGATGACATGGCAATAAAAGTGGTCATTGAAGAATTTCTTTTTATGTCTTCTTGTTGATTGTATGGGCTCAAGTCCCAGTTTTTATTTTAATACGTGTACATCATTTTTTGTCCAAAAACTTTGTATACGACCTGGTTTGCACAGATATTGCGGTAAATATATCAAATCTTCAACAAAATGAACCATGGGACTTGTTGCCAAAAGAAACAATGCTTGCGCCTGGCAGCAGGTTGGCAGAGTGCCTGGTTTTACACTTTTGTTCTCATCCTTTCCCTTTCCATCTAATTTGCGATTAATGTGAGCGTGTGGGAGAAAGATTGGCTGTTAGGCTGGGTAGGCACTATGGTTCAAAGACTTGGTCGAGTCGTCACCGTCTCAGGCTCTTACGAGATTAAGACGATACGATTTCGAGATACTTGATTCGTCGAAACGTCACCGTGAAGAGTTGAAACAGTCGAGTCATACCGAATCATTTCAAGTCATCTCGAGTTGATTCGAGTGATGTGAAATTGTCCGGTTTGCGATCACAATGATGACCGCGACTTTGAGCCATGGTAGGCACCCTCCCATGACCCGTTAAGGTCTTTATGAGGTAAACAAAAGCCAAGGACCCTCTCATCAATTTCATTCATCTCTTACATCAAATAGAATTTGTTGAGTCCCTAACTGTGAAAGGGAGTGAGGGACTGCCTACTACGACACCACCTAGAGTTTGTCCTAGCAGGCGGCCCCGGTGTGGGAGGGACATGGCACAAATTCAATCTCTAAGGCGAAATTGCATCAATTTGACTTGCCCAGAGACAACTGATGCTTGTCTTATTGTCTTATTTGATTTTGGTACTATTGTTTAGATAGACAGCGTCGGTTCTAATGTTACTTCCAATTTTTCTCACATTGATTTTCACTTTTTGAAGTTCTTATTGGTTTTTTAAGTAAGTAGATGTCATCTTTTGAAAATGCTTTATTTTTAAGTATGTGCTCAGTTGGAGGCCCTAAAAAAGGTCTAAAACTGACACTTCCGATCGACGGAAAAAAAGTTGTAATCATAATAGTAACAATGAACAAGATTCTAAATGTGGACTAAAAATACCATGAAAAGGAGAAACCAGTTGTTTCCCTCTGATATAATTTTGGACCAAGAGGCAAGAATTAACAAGGTAAAAGTCACCTAGGACACTGGACAGCTGGGTTTAGCAAACCCAGAAAATTGGAACACGCTACCAATATTGTTGCTGAGTTGTGGGGGCTAAGGGATGGAATGTCCTTAGCTTCCTCTCTAAACTTGCAATCCCCGTAAATAGTAACATTCCTTCGTCCAGGGGTGCATTACAAATATAAATAATAGTTGAAAGAAATCTATAAACGTTACGTTGTCCTTGTTTTCTTTCTTGTCTCTTGAACGGATGTTAGCAAAAACGATGAATCAACTTTACTGGAAACGTCTTTGGAGTAATTGCGGCCGGCGAGCTCCGAAGGATGCTAGCAGTGTCAATAATCATAACGAATTCCCGCCGTACGAACGTCCGTGCTCTCCCACCTTCCAGTGTTTGATCGTCGTTACAATTTTCACAATTCTTGTCGGCGGTGTCATCGGCGTACTGGTGCGCCTGTGGCCTCGTTCGCCAAAGTTCGAAATCATCTCAGCTTCTGTTTCTCCGTTCGACATGGTAGGCTCCAACTTGACGGCAACTTGGAATATAACTTTTGATGTCAAGAACCCTAATCAGGGGAGGCTTAGTTACGAAGACGTCGAGGTTTCCGTCTCCAGCGGAAACACAAACACGCTGTTAGTGTGGGCAAGCCAGAGCGGTTTTGATCAGCCAAAGAAGTCTCATGTGAAGTACGAAGCGATTATATCGACATGGCGTCTGCCGATTGCGGACGAGACCGTGAGTAATCCCTTGATCGAAGATCGGGTGCATGGAGTCGCGGCGTTCAGCTTCCAGGTGCATGCAAGGTATATTTACGTACCTGTGCCGCCGGTCTCAAGCACACGTCACATCACCGTCGACTGCAACAATGTCAAGATTGAAGTTGGTGCCAATAATTCCTTCAATGTCATTAGGGGACGCTTCAAAAGGTGCGAGATTGTTTGACGAATGCCAGCTACTGGATTTTGCCAGTAATTCATAGCCTAATTTATTTAAACTCATTAATTTACGGTGTAGAATAAGTTATCCACACACGTCCGTTATTGTTGAATTTTTGTTCAGTTATATAATTCTCACGACATTTGATATAAATTGTTATATAATTTTGGTCAAGCACGTCTAATATAATATGGTTTTTTTTTCTCTAAATTTGAATTTTCTAACCAATTTTCTCCAAATCTAACACTAATACGATGATATTGTTTCAAATAATCTGATAAATGATAACATGACTCGAGGAAGGAATGGTACAGAAAAAATAGTGAGAGCTTCCGAGTTCGATACTTTTTACTTATACTTAAAAAAGAGAAAAGAAAAGAAAAGGTGGCTCGAAATAAAAAGTTATATTACTACATAATTTTTGTTTTAAACGTCCTTTGTAATAAGATATCTAGAAGAACTATTAGAAGCCATCATCATCAAATCTTTGCAGTCAGGTCTTGTCTTTGCTTATTCTTGGTCCAGATTTCGGAACCTCTTCGCAAGAAAAGAAAGGCAGCGTATATAAAATCTCTTCACACTATATATTTTGTTAAAACTGAGAAAAAGGCTAGAAGAGTCAAATGTTAGTGGATGTAGACAGTTGCTTAATTGCACTATGAAAATTATGGCGTATATATAATTATTGTTGTAAAACTAATAAACTACTATAGCATGAATAGTAATATTAGAGGAAAAGTAGAGCAATGGAGAATGATATTCTTGTATTCCAACAAAATACAAAAGTCCTCACGAAGGGTTTTAATGTACCTCTATATACAGGCACTACAAGATTAAAGGTACATAAATCCTATTAAACATCCACTACTACAATAATATGAAAAAACTTATGAAACGGTTTCTCCACTACATGAATAGATTTATGAATTGTAATTTCTATACATAATGTAATCATAAATCATGAATTAACTCTCTTGGAAATACAAAGGGACATCTATACTTTTAATTGTTTCATAACAATTATATATATAAAAAAAATAGATGGATGGATGTAACTGTAATTTTCAGTGTCAAATTTTGTTATCTTAAGGTTCATATTTATTATGTTAATGCCTAGATTTATTTTGATGGTACTTAAATTGTATGGTGCAGCACAAGCCCCACCCACATTTTGTCTTGCTCACTGGGGTAAAATTAGAGGCGTAAAAAAATGGGTGATTTGGGCGGATTTGAATTCAAATTCAATTCGAAAAACGCAGCCAACTCTGCAATTCTTTGTAGAACACAACCGGTAATAATGGCCCTGAATTCCTGAATTCTGCAAGCTCATCTGCATCAGCCCACCAATGTCTTCTGCCAATTCCGAGCAATCACACTCGCCTGTCTCTGTGGTCTCTCCTACACAAACTGCACCCACGTTGATCTTCAAGAGATCCCAATGGCCTTTATCTAGTTCTAAGTCTTATCTACATAATTATGATAGCCTAAGATACAGTAATTGAAAAAGATGATGCTCAGTACGTTGTAGTTCAAACTGAAAAGGGCAAATTGTGCATTTATGGCGGCAACAACTTCATGCACCAGTAACTGCACCCCTGCGCACTTTATCTTTATGACGCAGAGCTACCAAATTCAGATTCATTGCTTCCTATTTTCCATTTCTGCCGAGTGCGAACAAACTGAAAGAAAGAACAAATTCTTATCAGAAAGCAATTCCATAATCCACGTCTCACAGTCACAGCCAAAAGTTAGTGGAGGCAAAGCATTGGTTCGTACAAACCCTCGATCGGGAACTGATGACGCCCAACTGACAATTGTGCTATTTTATGGACGTCATGATTGTCTTTAGATCTCCTTTTCTCTCCTGCAACAAGAAGCAATTGTCGGAAAAATCTGGGATTCGTAAGTTTTCCTTTCATCCACCGAAGGGTGCACGAATTTTGTTCCCGCGGAAATCAAACTCTGTGCGGTTCTCCCTTCACTTGCCATGCTGCTCTGGCTCCCCACTTGAACTACAACGGCCCATTTCATCCTCCAAGGAGGTATATCTACAACCGGCTTCTTTTTTTTTTTTTTTGTAATTAATCACAACGTTACTAATTCACTACTAGTTGACTTTGATTCCACGAATTAGTGAAGGCAGACTTGGGGAAAGGAATTCTGATTTGCTTGTTTTTGCTGTAAATGTAGTTAATTGAGCGATTGTTGGCTCGCAAAGACCTGACTGAAGAGGAGGCTGAGGCTTCACTTAACTTGTTGCTGAATAATGGCAGTGATGCTTTGATCAGTGCTTTTCTTGTCCTCTTAAGAGCCAAAGGCGAAACCTTCGAAGAAGTAACATCACGTTTAGTTGACCTCGGGAATCTTACCAAATCCATATCTTGGCTCATACATACTTTTGTTCTGTCTGCCTGTTTAAGTACTAATTAGGAGAAGAATCCTTTGATCCAGTTTTGCTAATGGGTTTAAAATTATCTACATGTAGATTGCAGGATTTGCAAGAGCTATGATCAAATGCTGCAAAAAAGTGGAGAGTTTAGAGAATTCAGTGGACATAGTTGGAACAGGAGGTGATGGGGCTAACACGGTAAATATTTCAACCGGGGCCGCGATTCTTGCCGCTGCTTGTGGTGCTAAAGTTGCTAAGGTGAATAATTGTTAATATACCACGTACCATTGGTTGTCCAAGTGAGCATGGATGATAATTTGCATTGTGTATTACTGCTTCGTAAAGAAATTATGCGCTCCTTTCCAGCAAGGTAATCGATCAAGTTCTTCTGCTTGTGGAAGTGCTGATGTTTTGGAAGCCTTAGGTGTGGCCATTGACTTGGGACCTGAGGTTAGCACATCGTACTGGATTTGTTCCTTGGCTTTGAGCCATGCGAAAATAGTAAACTAAAAAATGTCGGTTTGTTGTCATTTGGCTAATAAAATAGAATTACTCGATTTGGTTATCTCTTTATGATTTGTTAGGTGATGATATGTCATGCTACTGCTCTAATTTCCAATTCGGACTTATATTGAGGATGTACAGTTTTAAGTTATTGAGTATCCCTATCCTGAAAGGATTACCCACGACTAAGCTAAAATTTCTTTCTTTCTAATACATCATTTTGACTAATTAATCAAGCTGGACCTTATGTTGTCAATCAAAACATCATCATTTGCTCCCCCAGTGATTGCGTTGAAACTCGATTGGACAGCATCTCTTGCATTCAACAAAATTCTACTTTATACATTGTTGTGGTCGTGAAACTTTAACTACAAGCCCCGCGATTCAACTTTTTTATGCCCTTAAATCTTAATTTAAGCTTTTTTTTCCAACGTGAATTTGATTGAGAAATTCTTGATAAGAAGTCTTATTCTACAGTTTCTTGATTGAGAAATTAAGTTTAGTTTTTTCCATATGAGATCTTTACATTCATGAATTTCATAATTCTATATCTGGGTTTCATGAAAAGTGACAGTTTTGCAGTCAAATACGAGTCTTATAACATTACTCACCAGTTATTTCAGACTAATACATTTCTTCTCTTATTCTATTGCCTGAATGTGCTTTGTTTGCTTAAACACCTCCAACGCACTGGTGACGGTTGTCTGCATTTTTCAATAATCCGAGATCCACATTCTGCTTAACTTTGGAAAAGAAAAATGACTTGTCTAGGAGCATATCAGTTAAATCGTGTTCTTGGAATTAGGGGGTGAAAAAATGCGTGGAAGAAGTTGGCATTGGTTTCATGATGTCTCCTAACTATCATCCAGCAATGAAGATTGTTGCACCTGTGAGGAAAAAGCTCAAAGTGAAGACTGTATTTAATACCCTCGGTCCATTGTTGAACCCAGCACAACTACCTTTTGCTGTGGTGGGAGTGTACAAGGAAGATATGGTAGGCTCAAAGTTTGTGTCCTGTAGTTTATGCTAGAAATAATTTACTTACTGGTTTCTTTTTATGCCTTAAGTGCGATATTCAAACTAGTAATAAGTGGTTGTACCAATTGACTGTTAAGTCTGAAAATATGGTCAGTAACTGCAGAAATCACAAACTGATTAGTTCACGCTTTCTTTAGAGGGTTTTTATCAAATACTGCATTCCTTAGTAACATTTTCATTGACCTTTTTGTCAAGCGTTTGATGCTTTCAGTCGGAAATTTCAGGAGTTGGCTGACTTGGTATACATTATATAAGTAAATCAGTTATACTATTGAGTGGCAAAGTTCATAAGACTTATAAGACCTCAATCCATTTGTAATTTCTGGAGCTGAGTTCTCGTAATTCTGAGATAATAAACAGGGCTCAAAATGTTGGAAAGTTTCCAGTCTCAGTTCTCTAAGACGCGCACCCAATTTTAGTAATATTCAGCAGATTAAACATAAGTCATACTTCTGTGAAAGCCCATTGATATTTGATCTATTCCTTTCTTTTTCTCTTTCCTTTTTGGGGTGGTCTCTTGACTTTACTGTCTATAGATTCTGTTGGAGGGAAGAATCCTACTCAAGTAAATCAGCTTTTCAGCGTCAATAATTACCCTCTTCCACTTCAATAGGTTAAAAAGATGGCCAATGCCCTGCAAAGATATGGCCTCAAAAGAGCACTAGTTGTTCACTCTGAAGGCTTGGATGAAATGAGTCCACTAGGTAAGTTTACCTCGTCACTTGAAATTGAATGCAGCAAAAACAGTTTCAGGTCACTGACGCCTTTGAATTTGTGTGCTTCATGTAATGCTTGTATGCTTTCTTTAGTTGTCGCAAGTCTTTCTCATCATGGATTTAGTTATATTGACAGGACCTGGACTGATGTATGATGTTACACATGAAAAGATCGAGAAGTTCTCTTTTGATCCATGTAAGAACCTTAAAGTCCCTCGCGTGTTTTAACTAAATGTAGGTTGCTTTATTCAAGGCTTTTACATTTAACATAGTTGATGCTTCAGTCAATCTAACTGATGCCAATGTTGTGGCTTGGCAATGCCAAACTGCTGCCTGGTTTCTTTTGAAATGGTGTTCTGTTGAAGAGTAGCTTATTACCTTGCTGGTCACAAACTAGCCATGATATTTGACCATAACTGACATGCATAGATGATCGATCTTAATTTCGAATTCGACTCTAGGCCTCGACTTGTATCTGTCCTAATAGAAATCCAAAGCCAAGCACGGAATTACCACATTGCCTCGTACATTTACGTATCTATATACACAGATGGGTTCTTAATAATGTACTATACCCAAAACTTAACAAACCAGCTAAATGCCAGTTCTTGATAATGCTTAAAACCAGAAGCAAGAACAATTTAAACCTCGTCAAAAGCAGGTGAATCCGTAACCGGGAATCCGGAAAGTTGCTTGTGAGTCCATGACCAGACAAGTGGAAGTATCTTTTTTGCAATAGATTCTGAATTCGGTATTCTTGAAAATCAGTAACCAATTCCTTGGGATAATCTATCATGCAGTGGAATTTGGTATACCACGCTGCACGGTGGAAAATCTACGAGGGGGAAGCCCCCAGTATAATGCTACTGTACTGAGGCGAGTGCTGTCTGGTGAAGCGGGCCCTGTTGCAGATGCATTCGTAAATCTCTCTTTCCCCTATCTGCATTTTTTACAATGTTTTGCTCCTCATTTTTGTGATGTCCCGGTGTTTGGAACAAAACCAATCACTTAATAACTTAGAGAGAGACATCTAGTCCTATCTTTTAACCAACTTCATCAGACAATGTTCAAGTCCATAACTTAGGTTCCCGGGTGGATAATTCAGGTCCTGAATGCAGCAGCGGCATTGTTGGTCAGTGGACACGTTAGTAACTTTGGCGATGGCGTAGCTTTAGCCCGCAAAAAACATCATTCAGGGGAAGCACTATGTACTCTCAACCGCTGGATTAACTTGTCAGCCGTGAGTTGTCTAATGATTTTTGCGTCTCAGATTCTAAACGCTCTTTTTTCCTCTAATTTCTGCTTCCATTTTTTTTTTTTTCCAATCTCAGTTGCTGTAGAATTTCAAAGAACCAAACAGTTTTGTTGCCTATTAGGCATGCTGAAAATCAAATTGTGCTTTTCATGTGCAATTGTCCACGACTCTCACGGTCATAGCAGTAAAATACTACCATTCCCGAGCTTGAACAAGAGAAGTGGGTATCTGATGGCTCCCCTGCGCAACAGGTGCCTGGTTGAGCTTATGCGATAGAGCTTATTAGAAAAAGGTCCAGAGCTATCTTTATAAAGATGCATCTGCTGACCATCATGTTACACCACCAAAACTTTTACAACTGGTATTCTTGTGAATTTGGTCAAGTACAAGCTAAATTGGTGTCCTTGGCGAATTTGATAATTTTGATTAACTGCGAGTGATGGAGACGAGTTCTGGCTTTGGAGAATTTGAGCCAGACTGAGACGTTCTTCAGCAAAAGATGGTCAGACTAGTTTATTTTGTTGACTTCCGCAATAATAATAATATAGTACAGGAATCCAGCGAAGCTTCTATTCATAATTTATTCTCAAACAGAAAAATGAAACGAAACACTAACAAACATTGCTTTATTTATGTATAATGGCTTCAGAAACATCCATAATTCATCCAACGTATGCTTGAAGGTCCTCTAAGCAGACACACTAGCAACAGCTCCGGCCTCAGTTAGCAAAGGAACAAGCTTGCCGTTCTGGTGCAGTGCAGTTGTTGCTGCAGATACAAAAACAAATGCAGAGAGGCAAATGAGATCCTAGCAAATTAATTGGAAATTACATCTCGGAAATAAGGTGACTAATGTACCATCACAACCACCAATGTGCTTGCCCCCAATAAAGACATTGGGCACAGTCTTTTGTCCAGTCAACTCAGCAAGAGCTGCCTGAATCTCACTTCCATCACCTTCACAAACGTCAAACGTACATTACAAATTATTAGTATAGACATTATCGAGGAAAGAGTTCGAGGACATAAAAAAGATTTTCAGAAGGCATCTGATCATATGTAGCAAATCACGGATGCGCATAAAATTGAACTGTGGATTCACCATAACCATTGCCCAGATCTGTGACTTCTCAATTCACCAAAACCAACAAGTTATGGATGTTTTCAATTACATGACTTGAAATTTTTTTTTTTTTTTTTTTAAAAAAAAGGAAGAAAAAAACTGGTATCATGTTCAACTTGAATTGGAATCGATTGGCAGTATGAACGCATTACCAACAAATGATCGCACTAGCAAAGAAGAATATCTCCAATTAACCATACATTTGTCACCTATTGACTTGGTAAAGAAACCCTACGACATCTTGAATTGTTGCAGCAACAATGAGTACGGCAGGAAGGGCTGAAAAACGGCTCCCTACTAACTAGAATTTAGGGCCACTAATCAGAAAAGTCAATGAAAATTGAATCCAATCAAATCAGCATCCGCCATCCATAAACCGTCCACAATCTAAGAATGGCCATTACATTAGAAGAAAAAATCTACAAATATTCCGTTGCATGATTGATAAACGACAGATGCAGGAATAAACTGAAATTGACATACGCATGCAGAAGTTTAACACTATATACATATATATGTGTGTGTGTGTGTGTGCAATTAATAAGTCTTCCGCCCAGAAAATGGATTAGGCGTCTTTGTCCCTTCTTTGGTATAAAACGACAGATCAATTCATGCAAATCCTGTTAATTTGTCCGCGAGATTTAAGAAAATTATTCGGTAAACAGAAAAAAAACGGCGTAACAAAAGGGGGGGGGGGAAATATAAGAAAAGGAGAGGGATGTAATGGAGAAAAAGGGAGAGGAGAACAGACTTTCGACATCCAGCTCGACGGCCTTGAAGTTGGCACCAACTTGACCCAGCAGCTTCTTCACGTTGACGCAGAACGGACAGTACGACTTGCTGCCCAATTTTCAATGTTATTAAACTCGGATCCCCCACCCACCATTCCAAATTAATTCCAAGGCCAAAAATATAACTCTAGCTAGAATTGCAAAACGAAAGATTATGTAAGCAAATAGAGGAGATAGGAGAGTGAGGGGAGGACCTGAAAACGACAACAGGATTGGCCGACACGATCTCCTTAGCCTTTGGGAGAGCCATATCTTCTTTCTTCTTCTTTCTCTTGATCGACAGAGCCCCGAGAAAACTAGCGAATGCAAAATCCACGCCAACTGACCTCTTCCTGCCCCCGGTTGAAAGTGTACCTATTTATATACACAAATAAATTTATAGGCGAGAGAGGCGTGTCTGAGACGCGTCAAAAAGTTGGGCTTTACTTTTTTTTTTTTTTGGTAGATGCCAGAATATCTGAGACCACGGAATTGTCTGACTCCTGTAGAGTTAAATAACAGCTGCATACATCCAATTGGAAAAATCTAACAATTGACACGTCCCGGTAAGAAATTCAATTCCCCGTTCAGTTAGTAATGCGTGGTCTGAAAACGAAGACTTCGGTCAACTCCAGGAGTAAAACAGCAACCGGCCAGAAAGGAACGGTTGTGCGTAAGTAAGATATGAAGGCGACAGAAATAGTAAGTATTATTTTGCTAGGAGTGGGATCCTTCGTCAACCATCAGCCTTAGGCTGATGACCACCAAGCCTTTAAGGCTTTGGTTCTTCAACAAAAATTCAGATGGGTGCGTGATACATCCGTTTGGTCCAGTGATGATTTTGTCCCCATCGATTTTCTTATGGGTCCAGTTAAATTTTTTCATAATTAGATTAGAATAGAATAGGATTAGAAGTAGGGTTAACGATTGAAAAAAAAAAAAAAAATCTTTCGTCAACATCGAACCGTAAAAAGATAAAGGGCATTAGCCATTATTATCTATGTTTTCAGAACCGGACCGGATAGCGACTCGGCCGAGGCCAGGGGTCAGGGGTTAATGGGTTCGACCGGGGGTCGATAGGGGGTCGAACCGAATGACGTCATAAATAAAAATTATTTAAAAATTAAAATATTATATATATAATATTTAATAATATGTTGATATTAATAAAGGTATATTCATATATATTTGATGTTTCAAATATATTTAATAAGAAAATACAAAGAAATTAGAACAATCAAGTAACAATTTATATTATTTAATAAATATTAATAAGTTTAGAATTAAAATTATGAATTAAATTGAAAAATAACATCAAATTTTAGGACAATATTTATAAAGTATCAAATATTTGAGGTATATCAATAAATTTTAATAATTTAGGGGGTCAAAACATAATATTAAAAAGTTTAAATTTTTTTTAAAAAAAACACTGTTGAACCGAAAAACCGATTTTTTCCGGTCAAACCCGATTTTTGACCGACTTTGACCGGGTTTTCCGGTTTTTTAGTATGACTCGGATCGGCTACATGACCGGTTCCCCAGTTTGACCGGTTCGACCGACCGGTCCGGTCCGAGTTTCAAAACAGAGATTATTATTAAGAAGCACTCCTCCACTGTCAAAAATTCCAAATGACCTTTTGAATATGTTCATTCATTTCATGCTCGCTCCCGGTGTGCTGTCTCAACCAACGACGTCTATCCAGAGCTACTACACATCTTTGAAATGAAGATGCTAGGCACAATTGCCGTAACCAATTAGTAAAAATACAATATATTATAATTGCATCAAAATCTCATTCATTCATCTCCACGATTATTAAGTAGCAGTCAGTAGCTATGACGGGGAAGCACTTTTAGGAACATCATGCAAATTTCGAATAGGATGAGCAGCGGACAAGAAAGTACGATTTCAATTTTTATTTTTTTTTGGTCATGAAATGTCGCAACCCCGTCTTCAACGGCACTTTTTTTCTGTTAGTGTTTGTCATGCTCCCTCGGTTCAATCCATAGCGAGCTCAATGCACCATGAAGTGACGCCTCCATAATGTCTATTGGGGCCAAAACAAGTAGCCCCGTCAGCCTGAACCAGAAAATTTTCCTAATTCCAACTCCATAGAATAGCTGCAGATCTCTCAGACAGATGCAGGTGCTTGGAGTTTCTTTTGAAGATGTGTTGCTACAGCACCGATGAACTCTCCAGTGTCCAAGTAAAACTCCCTTGATACCCTGCACATACACATTAACCTCCAGAAATTATGAACAATAAAACAACCCTTCTTCCACGGTGCTAACCGATTAATCCTAAAACAGAAGATCAACTTTATCATTCGCTTGTGCGGGGGAAGAAATTCAAGGCGAACTTCTATGCTCAATTAGGGTAGTACCATGACTTCGTGAACAAGTAATTCAAGGTAACCCAAAATGATCAACGATGCTTATCATGCATACCTTTAGATGTTAGGCCTCCAAATAATTCCTAACTATCACCCAAACCAAGCCCGCCCATCCATTCCCCACATACCCACGCACTCAAAATAAATAAATAAATAAAGGCCAAAAACACAAAACACCACTTACTTGGGTCCATGAATCAATATGGCAAGATCCTTTGTCATTTTCCCAGACTCAACAGTTCCAATACATGCAGCCTCTAGGTTGTGGACAAAATCCAACAGCTTCTTGTTCTCATCGAGTTTGGCCCTGATAACATATTCTGGCGTGCATCAGAATGTTAAGGACTGATAATTTACGGATCTAAATATTAGACAGCACTAAAATTTGTAACGAATATGGCAAACAAATAATGCATAGTAGCGCACAAAATGCATAGTATGTTATTTAACACAATAATTCCTGTTAAATGATGATTTGGACTGAAAAAGAAGTAAGAGATTACAGAAACATCAGACTCAGAGAGCAACAAACTAGTATGTTGGAAATACACCGTGTTCACATATGATTCACCAATGCTAGTACATGCATAAGACATCTCCATTAGTCAAAAATAACTTGCAAGTCCTCGAGTCAAAAGAAGGGATCCTTTAAACAGACCCGGTGCTGTCTTGAAAAGCAACAAAATGGGAGAAAGATCAAGAATCCTAAAGTTGGTGTGTACAAATCCGAGAACTCAAACAAAAGCTGCAACTTGATATAGTATTGCCAGTTGACAATTAACTAGCACATTAGATCAATCAAAGATCTAAAAGTAGGCATATCAGTCCCAATAAATACATAGCACCACCAAAAAAGGGCACCACAACTAACCGATGTTCCAGGCCTCTAGTCCAGGCAAAAATGGAAGCAATGCTATTTGTGCTGGTATCCTGACCCTTCTGGTACAGTCGAAAATGACGGGTTACGGTCCCATGAGCTGCTTCAGCTTCCAATGTCTTGCCATCAGAGGATAACTGCAAAGCACATGATTAGATAAGAACTAAGTTTTGAGACCAGCATTATAATTAGCTCCGAGGCATGAGCACCATATAACTATATCATACCAATACAGACGTCATGAGGCCTAGAGAACCAAATCCTGCAGAAAGCAAATAGGATATCAAGGGAAGTCAAATGAAGTATCTGATTTCTACTTTCAAAAGTTATAATCTATTATTCAACAGTTTCTGTAATTGTTACGGTTGAAGTTTAGTAATGACAATGAAAATTCCTTACCCAAAAAAAAAAAAAAAAACAAAACCCTAAAGCAGCCACTTCCAAGTCTACTTCTACTTTATTCTTTTTGACCAAGTGGACAGTGGGGAGGGAAGGGAAACCAAAAGTTTCCAAATGGTACATAAAACATTGATTCCTTTGAGAAATGATCATGTCCTTTGCCTGAGTGAGCTATTAATCACAACTAATAAACAATCCAAAAAATCCATCACCAAACGGAAACAGAAAATGGCTCGAATGACAGTACTTAAAAAAAAAAAAGGCATATTTAGTCAGCGGGCCGTTACAAGTTTCTTTTTGGTTAAAAAGCACTGTATAAGCGCATCATCACAAACTTTCCAAATATATATGGGAAATAGTTGTATTGCATCCATCAAATGAAAAATTAATGACAGATAAATCACCTTGAGCAAGTAAATCACTCTGGACATCTCCATCATAGTTTTTGCATGCCCAAACATAGCCTCCATCACTCTTTATTGCATAAGCCACCATGTCATCTATCAAGCGATGCTCATACCTAGTTGAGTAATTAATTCAAAAGCCATGAGACGAACAAAAAGGAGGATATAATGAAGAACATGACAATATCAGCTAACCATATAGAATGTTCCTCAAACTTGTGCTTCCACTTCTCCTGATATACCTCCTCAAATATGTCCTTAAACCTGGAGAGGTTAATTTAGCATTAAAAACAGGGTTTGTTCTAGTACAAAAAATAAAGTGAAGGACCTCAAATGAGGTAAGTGAGTAGCAAAAGACCACCTGCCGTCATATTTCTTCAGAATTGTATTTTTGGTGCTTAGGTAAAGGGGCCATTTCTTTGAAAACGCCAATGACATTGAGGATTCAGCAAATGCTCGAATAGACTAGCAAATTTCACAGAACCGTTAGTTAGACAGGATACTATAACCCCTTTTCCAGGAGAACTAAAGAGACAAACCTGGTCAATGTTATACATGGCAAGTGCAACCCCAGGACCTTTGAATTCATAGACATCCAATTCCACTGGGGCTTCCCCACTTTCAGGCTCTGACAGAATTAACAGACTTTAGAAGGAGAACTATCCAAAAAACCACGAAGTCTTTCAATTTACAGCTTTTCTAACACGTTTTAAAAATAAAGCTGACTTACCAAAAACCATTTTCAGCCTTCCAGGTCCTGTAATGAGTGTATCAGTAGCACGATATTGATCGCCAAAGGCATGCCTACCAATGCAAATGGGTTTCTTCCAACCTGCAGATGATTCGTTTCAATCAGAATCAAGATGGAAGTAATTAATCTTTGCCACAGTTGCTGTGCCTTACACTTGTAAACTTGCAATATATATATATATATAATATATATATATATATATATAAAAACTTACCAGGAACAATTCTTGGAATGTTCTGGCAAATAATAGGCTCACGGAAAACAGTACCTGCCAAAAGTCTGATTAGCAACCAAGATTATTAAATTTATTCCAAAATGAATGACAAGAAAATATCAAGTTGATTAGATTCACTTTCATGAAAATGATGTTCTTGAAGCAGAGTAAAACATTAGAACTTCCCTGGCCAACGTGTATCACCAGTATATAATCCACAGAATACACAATACTTAAAGCGCAAAGAACCTAATTGTTACCATTCAATATATTCCTGATTGTGCCATTGGGGCTCTTCCACATAGATTTCAGCCCAAATTCCTTGACTCTGGTTTCATCTGTAGAAATACCAGCAAGTCAACCTGTGCTGCAGGGATTTTGCTGAAAGAGGATATTGCAAGGGAAAGAAACGTTCCTTGTAACTCAATTA